AGAATTCAAATGAACATTTCCAGTCCCAAAAATACTGATTCAAGTGATAGACAATAAAAAATATTTGTTTACATTGGAATAAACTTTTAATGCTTTTTTCTCATGTTCTGCTTTTTCATGTGTCTATATGTAAATGTGAATGTGTGAGTGTATGAATGTATGTATGTGTGTTTGTGTGTATGTATGTAGGGTGTGAATTTTGGGGTTGTGTCTCCAGACTCCTCGAACCACCTGTAGGTGTCAAAGGTCACACTGTGGTGATGTAAACCAACTGGACACACTCATTCAGGTCTCTCCCTGATGCTTTCCCATCACGTCTCCAGAAACCTCTCTCTACCCGCTCTCTCACACCCACTCAGTTCTGGAGTGGCGTGGGGAGGGGCAAGGAGGTGGCATTTTCCTTTGCTCTTTGATCTGTGACCTGTGCCTGAGTGGGCGTTGCTGGGCTCCTGTGGTCTGAGCTCTCAGTGTCCACTCCCGCAGTCCAGTGACCCTGTACAGTGTGTGCCCTTGGTTCTGGAACACAACCTTATAGTCAAATTAAAAACAACAGATATCAGTATGTGAATGAGATTGTTTTTCTCTCTAAAGTCTAAACAATTTTGGAGCGCTCTTGGCTTTCCAACATGCGCTATATAAATAAAGATTACTTATTATCTTACTAATGATGACATTTTAAGACCAGAAACTCTCTTAATAAAAAACAAGACTCAAATCTCAAAAAACCTTCAAACTTTAAAATATGTATTATGTACTTTTGTACTGTGTGTTTAATTATCTATGCGTTCTTGGGTTTCTTGAAAGACGCCATGAAATGAAATTATTTTGGAAAACATTAAAACATAACCTGAAATCAAACAAAAGATTTAGCTCCAGCTAAACTGGATTTGGTTCAATAAAACTCAATTGTGCGTCGGAGCTGCCTCCTCCTGTCTCTGGGCAGCAGCAACAGGAGCAGGAGCAAGGTCACGCGTGTAGTCAAAACAAAAAAGTCACCGCTTGCAATGTGAATTGGGTGATTTGGGTAGAGTTCAACTCAATAATATATTACTTTTACAGATAATCCTAATTCCCTCTTTCTTTTTAGACGAAGTCTATGATCAATAATCACTTTTAACACAGATTCTAATTTAAATGTTTGAAAAACCGCTTTTGTAACTAAAATAAAAAATACATGAAAATATTCTCACAAACAGCTAAGAAATATATCAGAGATACAATAATGGACTCAAAAAATAAGCAGCAGATTTAAAAAGAAAAGAAAAGCATTTTTGTACTAATCTTTGGATTTAAAAAAACATCCATCCATCCATCCATTTTCTACCCTTTAATCCATTTCTGGGTCAGGGGGGTGGCAATCAGAGATGCCACCCAAGTCTCATAGCACCAGCACCTCACTGACCCTCTGCAGGTGGTGAGTCCACAGGAGGACGGCTGCTCTCTGAGTGTGAGCATAGCCTTTCAGTGATTTAAAAAAACATATAATATTCAAAACTTCTGTGTACTAAATGGTGTTTAAAACGTTTAACTTTGTCATAACACAATGTTCCATCACAAATTTCTCAAATTTAATGGAATAAAAACTATGAAAAGCCAAAATCCTAAACGCAGGTTTGTTTGCAGCAAGATAGAGCGGCGCGCACACAGGCAGAAAGATACAGAAGAACTTTCAAGATTACTTTTTAAAGAAAATATAACTGATGTCGTAGTTTATACTTTTGTCATCCAAGTCTAGAAATGGCCACTCTCCACACTTGTAACAAAAGGCACTCTTGTCTTTAACGTTTACGCTTCTATTTTATCGAGGTAGCAAACTAATTTAAACTCAAAATCTCTTTCTAAAAAACAAAAACAACTGTTGGATACAACCCTCTCATAGCTCAACTGTAGATAAAACTCTGCATTCTTCGGTGAACTCTGTTCACGCCAAAAAACGAACTAATAAACAAAAACTCCCTTTTTCTGTATGTAATTTAAACCGTGATCACTGATATATTGTTGCTTCTTTACTTTCGTCATTTATCAAGCCTGGAATTGGTTAATTACAAAACATTTTGTGACAAAAGGCCTCCTTAACACGTTTCCCTTTTTTAAAAATGATTTTATTTTTTACACCATGGTTTCACTAAGGATCCAACACTTTTCTCTGGCTAGCAAGGGGCCTCTACCCCGGTAATTACTCAAAAAAGGGCCTCTACCCTGTAATTACTCCTTTTCTCTTCTCAAGGGGCCTCTACCCCGGCAATTACTCAAAAAAGGGCCTCTACCCTGTAATTACTCTTTCTCTGCCCTGACTACTTCAAAGGACAGGGACCCCGATACGTCAAGGGGTTCTTTTTTCCTATAGGGACTGGTTACCCACATAGCTAACCTGTTTTCTACAACATAAGACATGACAAAGACACAACAAAGAAATTTTGATTTAGAGAGATTTGGACAGACCTCCGGGACAGCTCAAAATTTAGCTAGTATCCAATTATGCAGACTTTACATATTAAAAAAGGTGTCTGCTGTTGTATTAGAAAAATACACTAAACAGATGTGGCAATAATGACTGTTTGACCTCTGTCTCTTTCTTAATCCAAAAAGACCTTGTTTTCCTATCTTGCAGTCCAGAAGGGCAGGAAATAGTTAATGATAGTTAATCTGGGGGGCCAGAGTATACAAAGACCGGATACGGGACCAGAGCTGCCTGATACGACACGTCCCTTCTTCTTGCACATTGACTCGATGAATGAAACAATGATCTCTCTCTCTGGCGAGATCAAAGTTCAACTTGGTCTCACTAGCAGGCTGGGGAATTCACCAACGGCGTTCTGACGCCCCCCAGTGGACAAGGGACGCCAGCACACCCGGAAATGAACTTTCAGGGAGGCGCATAGAGATGACGTCATCGGAAGTGCTATACTTATTGACCTTGCGTGAATGTTGGAGCCAGAGAGACAAAGGGCGAGCTTTGAGGGAGAGGTCATGGCATAGAGTAGGATAGGAGCTTTTTGTTGAATTTCTGTATCTGATTGTAAAGATAAATTAAATACAGATGTTACACTTGGAAAATCTTCGTCTTGTTTCCTGCATCAAACTTTGAACACGTCAGTCAAATCTTTTTTTGACAACACTGCTTACCTTATTTTCTTTGTCCGGACTGTTCGAGAGGTCGACCAACATCTTTTCCGCGTAGAAAAATTCAATTTAAACACAAAACAGAGAAAGTGAGGGAGCAAGAGCAAGCCCACCCAAAAGCGAGCCCTTTCAGCGTCTGCTGGGATTTCTCCCCTTCCAGATAACGTGCTGTTGCTCCCACACGCCGAAAAAAGAAACAAAGGAAACTCCCTCAAAACAACCAGAGAATGGCGCACACTGAGCCGCGCATTCTCCACAAAATCTGTCAGGGATGAAGCAGACAGAGACGGATCGTGGTGCGCCAAACTCTGGAAGTTTATTTAAGCTTCTTTCAAGTTCCAGTGGTTTCCTTTGTTTCTTTCTCCCAGACAGAGTGGAGTCAGTACACAGTTTATATAGTCATTGTCACGTCACACATCGAAAGACGTACGTGTCACACATCATAGTCAAAATAATCAGAGTCCTTGTACAGTCCTGCACGTAGGCCATATTGCTATCTAATACTAACACTTGTTGGAATGATGCTATCCTCACAGAAGTGAATGTATGACGTCACAGTGTCCGTGTATTCATCCAAACTATCTGTGGCAGCTCCCAGTCTGTAGATTCCATGCATGCGCGCAGCTCTTCCACAGCTTCATCAGACCACACTTTGGAGCTCCTCACTGCAGGTTTTGAGAGCTTTAGTCTCTGTCTGTAAGCAGGAACCAGATGTATCATGGAGTGATCTGAGAAGCCGAGGGCTGACTTGGGAACAGCGCGAAAAGCTCCGCGCACGGTGGTGTAGCAGTGATCCAGAGTGTTCTCCTCTCTGGTCGGGCATTTGATAAACTGTCTGTATTTGGGTAATTCCTGGCTCAAGTTTCCCTTATTAAAATCCCCCAGGATAATAATCAGAGAGTCCGGGTATAAACGTTCCATACACAGTACTTGCTCTGCGTCCGCGCATGGCGGTATGTAAACAGAGGCAAGAATGAATTAAACAATTTCACGAGGGGAGTAAAATGGTTTACAATGAATGAAAAGATATTCCAGAGCAGGAGAGCAGTGCTTGGAGATCACTGTCACATCGTTACACCAGTTTGTATTGACGTAGAAACACAGCCCACCGCCTCTGCTCTTCCCTGAGAGCGCACAATGGCGATCCGCGCGGAACAGCCCAAAGCCCTGCAGCTCCAGAGCGCAGTCCGGGATCCGCTCATTTAGCCAGGTCTCAGTGAAGCAGAGGACACAGGATGTGGCGAAGTCCTTGTTTCTCCTCATGAGCAGGCTGAGTTCGTCCATCTTATTGCCCAGTGAGCGTACGCCCGGGGAGAGCCGTGCACGCTCCTCTCCTCCTAAGATGCACGAGCAGGCCTCCGCGCTTTCCCCTTTTACGGGCCCACACTTTTTTGGCTAGAACATGGACTAAATCAGCCGCAGATGCCAAGAAAACAGGCAATAGGTCCATGGGAACGGTGGGTCGGATGTTCATAAGTTCCTCACGGGTGTAGGAACAGCCAGATGCACAGTTAAAAAGTAAAAACAAAAGAAAAAGAGAGCAGCAAAGAGCCATGTCGACCGTACGAGGCGCCATCTTTGGAGACTTGGAGATCTTTGTTCATTAACATGTACTGTCTCAACCAAAAAATAAAAATAACTCGGAGTAGAGCCGCTGCTCCTCCATGTGCCTTTCTGGCGAGGAGTTCTGGGCATGTCCCACCGAGAGGAGACCAGTGGAAGACCCAGAGCACAGAGGGACTGTGCCATCAGCTGGCCTGGGAACGCCTCAGGTTTCTCCACATGAGCTGGAGGAGGTGTGGAGATGGAGGTCTCTGCTCTGACTGCTGCCCCCTCAACCCGGCAACGGATAAAGCCGAAGAAGATGGATAAGCAATTCAGGGGCGCAGCTGGAGCGCGGTGGGGTGCACGTTGCAGATGTCGTACCACTGCTCATGGATCCGTCTCCGGGGCATCAGGGTGTTCCTCTGCTGCTGAGGCTGCCTCCTCTGGTCCCGGCTGCTGGCCACTCTCCAGAAGGCTGTGTCTTTGAACAGGAACAGTGCATTGTGGGAGTAGGAGAAGTAGGCAGCGTCCAGGTCGGAGTGGGGGTGGTCCTGCGGGTCCAGAGAGGGGAAGACCGAGCGCAGGGGTCTGGGGAAACCACGGGCCACAGACTGAGAATCCACACTGAAGGCAAACACCTGAGAGAGAGGACGTCATCAACACCAGAACTCTACAACTATCATCTTTATTATTTCATTTTTATCTTCTTTATTTGGGAGAATCCTAGAGAAACAGTGCAGATCAATATTTATATAAGGTGTGTGTGTGCATGCCTGCGTGCGTGTGTAAGTGTGTGTGTTCCAATCATTTTGACAAACCAAAAAACAGTTGTTTTTTTTCAAGCTTTACTTGAAAGGGTAAACACTAACTGCTGCAAGTAAACAATGTGTTGCTATGGAAGCTACTACATGCTCCAAGCTGAGATCTGCACCAGTTCAGGACCAGTCCAGGGCTGGTCCAGGATCAGTCCAATCTACAGTATGTTTTGTTTGAACCATAGAATCTGATTCATAAATCCATTGATCGCTGACATTGTGTTCTCACCAGAGCTCCCTTGAAGAAGTAGATGTTGCCGTCTCTGCGGTCGAACACAGCTGTGTCGATGGGAGCTGGGACCCCAGGGAAGCCCTCTGTGATTGGCCGAGGGTAGGTCTGACCATCTGGGTCCCTCCTGAAGACCTGGTCCTGGTCACTGTCATACCTCCAGAACTGAGAACCTGAGACACACATGTTGGACAGGACTCAAACGCCTTTTATCAGTGGGGGATTTAGATCTGGAGCTTCAGATTTATCCACTTTATTGAGAACTAAGGTCAAAAAGTTTCCTATGTGACAACTGTGGGAAAGGTTGGCGTGTTAATTGTAAGGCGGGTAAATGCCTAGTGGTTTCGACACACCAGCCCTGTTGCTCAGTGTAAAAGATAGAGGAGACCTGTGTTTTGGCTCAGGGGGAATTACTTCTGTATGAATAGTATAGTCTTATATTTACCCTTGAAGAAGTAGACGTGGTCCTTGCGGCGGCTCCACACGTGCACGAAAGCGTCAACGCCGCTGAAGGGGAGTCCTCTCCAGCCGCTCTGGACCGAGACCGGGTCCCCGTACCGGGTCCTGTTGTTCCGGTTCTCGTAGAGCCAGTACCAGCCCTCCCTCATGAAGTAGGTGTTGAAGCGGACCACCACCTCCCCTGAAGGCGTCCGCTCGGTGCGGATCCAGTCAAAAACTGTGCTGAAGCGCCCCCTGCAGCCTCCTGCTGGGAGCACACCGTAGACAACCAATAACAACAAATATCATGCATTATTATTATTACTAATAATAATACTACAGGGGAAAGGAGGAGGTCCTATATACTCACCGTAGAGGTTCTGGATGGCTCTGCGGTCAGTCCAGTCCATCTCAAACCTGGACTCTTGGGGCAGGTAGCTGGGCTGCATGATGGAGCCGGCTCTGTGGATGTGGGGGAGGCCCAGGACGTGACCGATCTCATGCACTGCCACCTGCAATGGAACCAGTGCTATTATCACTGACCCTCAGTACTCCCCCCCTCACCTATTCATGAGGGATGAGCTTTGGGTTATGAACAAAAGGACAAGATCACATATAGAATCAGACCACATGATTCTCCTCCAGAGTGAAATAGAGGAGCTGAGTTACACAAGATGAGCTCGGAGTAGAGCCACTGCTCCCCCACATCAAGAGGAGCCAGCTCAGGTATGTATATGAAAATATAGATATATGATAGAACCAAATTGTTTTAGCGGCATGAACATAGACATTGAATTTACAGTAGTAGTAGATTTTATGTAGTTAGAACGTTTGGTATCCCAGCTTTAAATACTGTACTTAAATACCATGAGGGTATTGCACAAAGTGACTGAACCTTGAGCAGACTGATGCCTTTCCCAGCGTTGGGGCCAGTGAAGTGTTCGTCATCGTCAAAGTGGATGTCTCCTAAGAACCAGGCGTGAGCAAACTCTCTGCCCGAGCCATCGAACCTCTGCTTACAGCCCAAGTGTCGACCTGAAGCACAAACCTACTGTGAGATTTACTGCGGGACACCACTGACCTCCATACAAGAGACAGTGGAATAATCTCTTCTTTATTCAGACTCCAGGTCCAGACCAGAACATGAAACACAGACACCAAAAGACAAAACTCACGTGAAAAAATATTCAGACGAGATTCTAACTAACAACTTTTATAGTGTTTCCATAGCTGCGAATGGGACCAGCAGCAGCACTAGGGTTTACCAGCAACACCCCCAGAGTCATTGAGGCAACAAATGAATGAACAGAGAGAAAGACAGGATAGACCAGAGCGAGGGACCAGAAAGAGAGAACAGATAGAAGAGAGAAACCAGAGTGAGACAAGAGAGAAAGATGAGACAGAGAACAGAAAGAGAGAACGATTAGAAAGAGACCAAAGAGAACAGAAATAGAGACCAGAGAGAGAGAGACCAGATAGGGACAAGATTATGTTATGTTATTGGAAGGAAGAGTCTGTTTCTTTTCAAATCAAATCAAATTCATCATTTTGGGAAATCTTGGAATTGTGGTCCATCGTGCTTTTTTTTAGATCTAATTGTGTTCAGCTAAGAAACCATGAACCGATGAATGGACTGAACAGATAAAAACCGACATATCTGTGTGTGTGATCAATGTTGAGTTGGCGTCCCTCACCCGTCCCGAACCCCAGCCGGATGTCTACCTCCTCCAGCGGCGACGTGGTGTCCTCGATGAAGTCCAGGGGGCAGACTTCACTCCACATCCTGAAGGCCAGTCGAAACACGTACCTCTGCTCCTCCACCGAGAGCTGGCTGCTGTAACCTTCTCCCATCAGACGCCATCGCAGCACGGACTTCGAAAACGCCGCAAAACCGTCTGCGTCTCTGCGGACACGGCCTCGAAGACCTTTAACGTTTCTGCGTCTATGGTTACGACTGGAGAGAAGAGTCAAAAGATGCCGTTTCCTTTGAGTTAACTTATAGTTTTTGGACATTCCGGGATTGTGGCCTTTGTCACTTGGGTCAAAATCGCTGGTAGAACTTGACTTTAATGTTGTTTCACCTGTAGAATGGTTCTTATCTGAAAAAATTTGGTTCTTCCAGTCTTCTTTACCATCAAATCTGGTAGAAAGATGCAGTTTCCTTTGATAAACGTTATCTTTTTGGGACGTTTTGGAATTTTCATCTATTGCGTCTTCGTCCATTGGATAAAAACTGTTGTGAGACATTGAATTAATTGCCTTTTTAACTGCTGCATTTTTCTTTGGTGCTTTTTCTTTGGTCATTTGGTCATAACCTGTGTCAAAACTGTTGGTAGAATTCAAATTGGTTTCATTTGACACATTTTTAAAGCTGTTGTCAGTAGCAGAGCCCATTCCTCCAGCTCTGTAATCCATATTTTGCATATCTCCACTAGTGTCATTGCTTATTGGCTCATAATTGGTAGAATTATGGTTGGTTCTAGAATTTTCCGTAACTTCATCCAGAGATAAAAGCAACAACTTCCCCACATGGAATTCCAGTGAACCGTCCACGTCTCTGCGTCTACGATTGCGATTGGAGAGTAGAGTGGAAAGATGCAGTTTCCTCTCAGTAACTTTTTGGAACATTTTGGAATTGTCGTCCATTGCGTCTTCGTCAATCCGATCAAAATTGAGGGTCAACGTTGCGTTTCTCGTCATTTCAACAGTATAATTTCTCTCATTTTGGGTTTCTTTAGTAGTATCATTGTTAAACTCATCCAAAGAAAGGAAAACGGTTTTATTGAGTAAGTCATTGAACATTTTTTGGTGCATAATTTCCATTGAGCTATTGGAAACTGGATCAGACTTAGCAGTAGTGTTTGAACTGGTATCGATGGTATGGTTTGAGACTGGGTCAAAATTACTTGTAAGTTTTGGGCGGATCTCCTCTTTTGGACGATTATTTGTGGTGTGAATGTAATGTACGTCATCTTGTAAATACTGGCTCTCGGCGGTTTCAAAGGTCAAGTCCAAATTTTCAATGTCATCATTTTGGTCGGAGCTATCGAGAATGGTGGAACTTGGAACGGCGTCAAAACTGTCCACAAATGTTGGCTGTGTTTCTGTGTTGACGTCATTAAAATATCTGGGAGCAGAGTCTAAAGTTTCATCTCCAGATTGTTCCAAAAAAACATTATCAACATGAGTTTCGATCTCAGAGGACTGGCTTGAACTGTTCAGCAATTTCTTGTTCAAAATGTCAAACGTTTTATCACCAGATAATACTGTACTATTATCCAAGACTGCAGAATGGTCTGAAACTTGGACAAAACTGTTCAAAGATCTCGTCATATTTAAAGTATTTGTGTAGTTAGTATGTAGTAAATATAAGGGACTCCCAGCAGTATGCGATCTTTTGTCCCAACTTTCTGTAAAGGATTGTTGGTGAGTTTCTGTCTCAGAGTGTGGCATGTCGTCAAAACGTTGGTCCAAAATGTCCATAGGTAAAGTTTCATTACTGAATACGACAGTGCTGTTGTCGATGACTTTGGAATACTGTTGAAAACTGTTGTCATTGTTTGAGTCTGGCTCGTGGCTGGAACTGTTTGTGTTAATATAGTTTTGCGAATCAGAATAGTGGGGGTCATTACCGCTCAAGTGTCCATCTCCAGAATGCTCAAAAAACACATTTTCGATATTAGATCCTACAGTTACAGACTCTGAGGTCACATTCAGCTCCAAATATTCTACGTCTGAAGTTGTATTACCAAATTTGTCACTACTTTTGCCTGAGGTTTTGGACTGGTTTGGAAATGGGTCAAAGTTATTGGCAATTTTTGAGCTTCTCTTGACTTCAGAAATATTATTGCCGTCGTTCCAACTGTTTTCTGAATCGTGGCTCATAATGTTAAAACGTCCATCTCCAGATTGTTCCGAATCAAAGTTTTCGGGATCTGATTCTACATGAGTTGCAATCTCTGAGGTCTTGTTCTCCAAATTCACATTCTCTAAAATGTCTAAATTGGAAGTTTTATTTCCAAATACGACACTACTTGTGCCTGAGGCTTTGGGATGGTGTGAATTGGAACTGCTCAAACGTTGTAAATCCTCTTCTGAATACATTCTGCTCTCAAAACTCTCAACTCTGTCATCTCCTGAGTGTTCAGTATCTGATCCACTGCTTTCAAAGTTATTGTCTAAATATTCAAACGATGATGATTCAATAGACTTTTTGACATTTCTATTATCTAAGACGTTGGACTGATTTAGAAAGGGATCAAAATCATCGTCAATCTTTGGGTTTGTCTTGTCTTTAGAAAGATTATTTATATCATTCCAACTGTTTTCTGAAAAGTTGCTTGGTATATTTTCATCTCCAGATTGTTCCGAATCCAGGTTTTCAATGTTTGGAATCTCAGAAGACTCCTGTGCTACATTGTCAAGATTTTGATCAAGATTTTGGACAAGATTTTGGTGGTGATTTTGGTCAACAAAGTCCAAATCTGCAGCTTTGTTTCTAAACTCGACGCTACTATTGACTAAGATTTGCGAATAGTTTGGAGCGAGGTCAAAATTATTCTCATCATTTGGAATTTCTGAATAATTGTATGAGTTGTTGAAACTTTCTAAATCGTCTTCTAAATCGTAGCTTGGAAAACGTTCAATTTTCGTGTCCAGATTGTCGTTTGGATTTGGGACAAAGTTATTCTCTGTGTTGTCCAACGTCTTGTCCAAATCTCCCATCTCCAAATTCTCCAGAGCTTCTTCGGTAAACTCTGCTTCTATGTCTGGGACTCCACACCGGGGCTGGTTCATGGCTTCTTTTGTGGCCTCGTCCAAAACCCCGGTCACTGGGAGTCCAGACAGCACCTGGAAGTCTCGGAGCGCACCGGTGAATTGTGGGTCGTGTAGTGTTGGTTTGGGGTCTTCACGAGAGCGGGAGGCAGCGGAACCCTCCTCCAGGCTGAACTCATGCAGGTCCAAGAAGGAAAAGTCTGGCTCCTCTGGCTCCTGGAAAAGGAAATCCTCCCAGTTCACCGGCTTCAGGAACCCGTATTTAGACAGGAACAGCTGAGGAGCAAAGAGTCGTGTTAAAGAACTAGTATCAAGGATTAGTTTTAGCAGGTAACAGTGATGATGGGAAAATGTACTGTGAATCAAGTATGAAATGCTATTGACAAGCGGGAGAGACCAGAGAGAGACCAGAGAAAGAGAGAAAAAGAGACCAGAGGGAGAGAGTAGAGATACCAAAGAGAGAGAAAGAAAGACCAGAGAGAGAGAGAGAGAGAGAGGCCAAAGAGAGATCAGACCTGATTAGTAACATGAATTGGCAGTTTGGTGGTTCTAGGCATACACTTCTCTCCCTGGTCTCTCTCTGGTCTCACTCTGTTCTCTTTGGTCTCTCTGGTCTTCTCACTTTTCTGTCTAAAAAGGCTTATCTAAAGATGTGACACAGGGACATACATGCATGCGAAAAGGATTTAATTATTCTTTTGTGTATTGAAATGTAGGAACCCTAGCTTTACGCAAAGATAAAGTCACCGCGATAAAAACACACATATAAAGCATATTTAAATCAATAGATTCAATGGTAACATGGCCCTTTAGTCCCCCTCGCTGACCTCTACTCTCACCTCTGCAGTGTGGCTGTCTGTGATTGGCTGAGCTCGGTGCTGGCTCTCACTCTTCAGGTCAGAATGGTCGCGCTGGTGGAAGAGTCTCTCCGCATCTGAGCTGATGCCGGTCCACACGGTCACGAGAAGAACAATACAAAAAGGTCTCTGCTGGATGGAAGTCAGCATCGTGAGCTCTGTCACTGTCACGTTAAAGTAAAGTGGAGTTGTAGAAGGATGCTGCAGTTATATAGAGCAATATAGGCTCCTCCCACTCTCAGGTGTGACTCTGCCCCTCTATGGTGTGACTCCTCCCACTCTCCGGTGTGAGTCCGCCCCTCTATGGTGTGACTCCTCCCATTCTCAGGTGTGACTCCGTCCCCTCCCAGTAATTCGGAACATCCATCCATCCATCCATTTTCTACCCTTTAATCCATTTCTGGGTCAGGGGGGTGGCAATCAGAGATGCCACCCAAGTCTCATAGCACCAGCCCCTCACTGACCCTCTGCAGGTGGTGAGTCCACAGGAGGACGGCTGCTCTCTGAGTGAGAGCATAGCCTTGATCTTTCAGTGGGGGCTTTGGGCAAAGTGGGGTTAAGTGTCTTGCCCAAGGACACAACGACAGCAGTCATCAGTGGGAGTCGATGGAGAAGGTGCAGAGGTGGGAAGGTGGGAGGCCTCGACCCCAGGACCTTGTTGCTGGGAGGCACTAGGCCCTCTCAGGTGCGATGGGACACATGGGTGAGAAGCCTGCAGCTCTGTGCGAATGACTTTACTGTCGGCAGGTGTAACTTACGCATCATTAACCTGGAACAGACTCAAAAGATAAAGCTTCATAATCAAATCATGTCATGTGTAAGAAAGATCCCTGGGAGTCACTATTTGATTCTTGGAGCTGAGAGCTGATTGGCTGAGTGTGGGTTTGGCATATAATAGTAAATAAAATGCATCTCATATGTACTGTATAACACAAACCAGAGTGAGAGGCCAATGTGTAATCTGCGTAACCAGTATCAGGTCCTTCTTTAGTCCCTCTTGGTCCTGGTTCTGTCCTGGTACTAAAGGGTTCTAACTGACAGTGAATGGTCAGAGTGCTGCTGGAAGCCATGGTTACCAAGGATTACTGGTTTAAAGGAGTTTTACAAGAGTAGAATTGAGTAGGTCTGATGGAAACAGGGCTTTAGTTTAGGATTTATAATAAAAGGCTCTCAGTAGAAAGTTAATTTTGTGCTACATGCAATGTTTTATTTACAATATATTTTCATGTCACATATCACATGTTCAAAACTTGACACATAAATACACTTTAATAAATCTTCACAAACAACATTCAGAACAATAACTTACTCTGTGTAAAAAATGCCAGACTTTGGACGTTTTCTGAATAACACCAGAGTACAACCAGAACCAGGATGAGTAGAAGTAGAAGAATCTATCAAGCGTTGCTCCCAAACCGGTCTAATCACTTTAGTCTAGTCTGCAGCAGGCGTCTTGTTACTTTGCCTCTTTGACCAGAGATGGTCCAGAGAGAGACCAGAGATGGTTCAAAGAGAGACCAGAGAGAAACCACCAGAGAGAAAATCTAAACAATGAATCACATGCAGAAGGACTGTGTGCTTCATCACAATGATCAAAGTAAAGGAGTGGCCTATATGTGTCCAAATACATACATTACATTCCTAATATAAGCATGGATTATCCCTGCACTTTTAAATGCATCTTCTGGCTTTTGTCTATGGGTCTTTCAGTCCCTTGTATATCTCGTGCAGCAGTAGTAGTAGTAGTAGTAGTAGTAGTAGAGTCACTGCAGGGCGTTGTGGATAGCTGCACTCAGGTGTTGAGCTGTTGGTTTTTCGGCCACAGCTCTCACAGTGAGACCCTCGGCTTTCATGGCCTCCTCTGTGGTTGGACCAATCGCAGCAAACTGGAAAACAGAAAACAAGACAAGAAAATTAGCTGTTCTCTTTTCCCCAGAACCAGAGAGGGACCAGAGAGAGACCAAGGAGAGACCAGGGAGAGATCCCAGACAGTCCAGAGACAGAGGCCAGAAAGAGAAGGAAGAAGCGACCCAGGGTTTTTGCTCAATGTAAATAAGAGGTTCTTACTTTGACGAGACTCAGCTGGTCTCCCGAAAACCTCCGCACCAGCTCCAGACAGAACTTGACTCCGGACGGACTGAAGAAGGCCACACTCGCTGGAACGCCCTGGAAAGTTTTAAACTAGGGTTAAACATTGTAGTGAGTCTGTGTTAGCATTGTTCATCTGTAAACAGTCCGGGTTAGCATTGTCCATCTGTATACAGTCTGTGGGTTGGACACTACTTTGACTCAGATGCCCTGGATGGTGCTTACCTGCTCAGTGAAATAATTCTTGAGGTTTTTCTCCAGGTCTGGGTGTTCAGTAGTTTGATAAACAGTCAGAGTCTCCAGAGGAACACCTGCGAATACCAAAATATTGAATATGATCCATGTTATTCATACGTTTACTGGAACAGACTGGTCCCTGGTTTATGACAGGGGTGTTCTAAAACATACAACACACAATAAGGTAAATCCTCTCAGTAGCAGGAGAGGATTTACAGTACCTTTACAGATTCACAGTAACACTTTATACACTTTTCTAACCACCTGAACTCATGACTACTGAAGTGGGAGAGACAAGAGAAAGAGCAGAGAGAGACCAGAAAGAGAGATCTGTCATGTTATACTAGCGGTTATATGTTGTTGGAGTAAACATGTGAGGGACCAGTTGGAGATAAGTTTGTACCGTTGTCTTTCAGAGCCGTGGGCAGGACGTCTCTCTTGATGGAGCCACAGGGAAAGAACAGCGGAGGGATGTTCTTGTCTTCTTCTGAACGACAAACAGAAATGTGTCAAAGCGAGAGATGGAGAGAAAGGAACATGTTCAAATAACGCACTTTCAATGATAAGCTTCGACAGCACGTCCGCCGTCCCGCTGTCTTCTCCCAAAGGATCCAGGCCCAGACTTTCAACTGCGGAAATATCAGACACTTGAGAGAGACCACAGAGAAAGACCAAAAAACTATGTTGTTTTCTATGTTGTGGTCTATTTTTTTCAAATGTCATCTTTTGCAGACTTGTAAGAATTATTCCTGTGACTATTTTACTCTTTGGGCTGAGAGCTGATTGGCTGAGAGAGGGGGGCTCCTCTCCGCTGATCACCACTAGTGATAGAGGAAAACTGTTTTAGATGTTTGCAGGTTTATTACTGCATAATGATAGTAACTTCAGTAGCCCATGATCAAAATGAATGAATTTTTAGATGTTTTTCTTCTCCTCCTCCTCCTCCTCTCTCTGTGCCTGCTGTAGACACCTAACTGTGACTTGTGTTTGAATAATTTCCTCGAAAACCAAACAACTGAAAACAGAGGAAGCACTTCTGACACATCACTGTGAAATGCAGCTACAGATGACACACTTCCACCAATAAAGAAATAAAGAGACCAGTGAGAGACAACACACGCGCGCACACACACACACAGTGTGAATATATTGTGTATTATAATATACAGAGATTTGGGCTAGGATTAATAGTAATAATAGACACTTAAATGTAGGTTCTTCACCTCTGTTCAAAAACAAATGGATCCTGGAGATATTGGTCTTTTTTATACAGAGGCAGAAAAGAGAGGGATTATTTTAATAGTTTATGGTCTTGATTGAACTCTTCTTCTCACCTAAAGCAGCAGTAGCTTTCCCCACCACATACACGGACCTGCAGTTCCACTGGTCCTTCACAGAGCGCTCCCATTCTGGAAACACAGACACCATGAAACTACTGGTACTGCTCACCAGCTATTGTCATGTTTATCCATATACTTTCTATTACACATTCAACATGAACACAGATCATGTGTCTTTTCACCTTCCTTCCTCTCCTCCACACACATCCTCACGGCCTCCACAGCTCGGGGGCTGGTGAAGATCAGACCCCCGTGTTTCTCCGGCTGGAAAATCTACAGCAACAGTTTCAGTGTCTGAGGTTCTTTCTGTGAAGTGAGTTTAAACCGTACCTTGTCTGAGAGTGTGTTCAAGGAGACAAATTTGAAAGACAGCACTGGGATGAGAGTGGCTTTGTGTCCGCAAGCAGCCAGCTCCTGTTCAAACAACAGGAGAAAGTCAGCCTCAGTCCTGGATCTACAGCCTCAGTCCTGGATCTACAGCCTCAGTCCTGGATCTACAGCCTCAGTCATCCCACTCCCTATGGACCAATGGCTCCTCTGTGTTTGTTTGTTATCACATTTCCTGTCTTCAAACTTATTCTCTGATCTGTTGTTGAGGAATTAACAAGGAGACGACTGCTGTTGTGATGTAGGGCAATACAAGTACATTGAAATGAATGGAACACAACACCTAAAAATACTAGATTATAACATGCGTCTGCTTCAGAAATCTACATTATGTCATAAGTATAATTTGTTTACCTTTATGTATGGATCAGGCCCAGTATCTCCATCCCTCGGCTCTTTAAGGAGCAGCACATTCATCTTCACCAAGCCTCCAGATCTACTACCTTTAAAACAGATAGAAATAGAGAACCAGTCTGTGAACCCACACTGACAGCTGTTCTGTGTGGATGGGTGTGAAACGAGCAAACTACTCCCTTCTGCTCTGTCGCATGTTACGTGCTGATAACAAAGCTATCAAGTCTTTTCCTGAACCCTCACTGACTACATTTCATTTTGAAATCTATAAATGCTGCAAAATTGGACGTAAACACCGTGGTATGCCTTTGTTGACATTAGCTTTACGATGTGAGAAAGTTAGCCCAGTTGGCTGCACGGATCAAACTAAAATGTGCATGAGACTTTAATACAGAAACAGAATGTGACATATTTGTTCAGGTTTATTGGTGCAATGGATAAAACATTGCATAAAACACAAGAAAATACAAAGTTAAGAGTACCTCAAAAACACTACAGCTGACTTCATAACTCGGACTCGCAAACTGAAATGAAAAGGGGAGACAGACATGGGAAATAAATCAAATACGTCGTTTAATACACTAAAAAGACAAATTAAACCTACGTATTATGTAGATAATATGGTTATAACGTATATGTGCTAAAAGATAATACATTATATGACAAATGTAAGCATTCCATAAGTACTATTCACCCCCTATACCCCTATTGAGTGGAATGGTACGGTCTTGTAAACTAACTGCCACTATGCGACATCCTGGCTCCTTCGCTGTTTCGCCAACGGCGTCTGGCGTTGATTAAGATCCAAAATGGCGTCCTCCGTCGCGCAGTTTCCCCATTTGCTCAAAGACGATGTCTACGTCCAAAATCCAAATACACGACCTACTTTTTATGCTTCCTTCTCGTTAAAATTGGCATACTGGATATTCAGTGTACAAAAGTAGCATTATGTAGTATGTTAGACATAGTTTTATTTAAATAGGCAATTTATTCCTTTCCAATATTAAAATGAAAGTACGAAGGAGTATTTAGTAGATGACGTAGTTTGAATTTGGATTCAGCCAGCGTCTCCTCTAGTCCGGTTTCCACGCGTGTTTGGATCTAACTACGCAGCAGACAGCATGGCCTCTTCTGCCAAACGGAGGGCGGTGGGTTTAGGGGAGAATCCCGGGGAGAGGGACCACAGCTCGGATGAAGAATCAGAGGAGTCCGCGGGGTCTGGAGAAGATGAGAGTGAAGATTCTGAGGAGGAAATCCACGAGGTGCGAGAGCTGTGCTAAGCTAATGTGGCTACATCAGCTGTCAGCTAATAACAACACGTGGGATGCGTTACTACTACTGCTACTGCTACTATTACTACGATTATTACTACCACTACTAATTGATACTAACACTACTACTACACTATTAGTGTTACTATTAGCTTTAAATGCGATTATTGCCTACTCGGGCTACTTTTGTGTCACTTGTACTTTTTAGTTACTTCTTTTACTGTTGCTACTACTACCATTTCTACTCCTCCCACTTTCCCTGTCTATGCCACAGATATGTTTCATACATTTCTCAATTATTTGACCCTAACCACTGATTCCATTGATATTATATATCATATTATAAACGTATGCTAATAAAAGAATAAGTTCAATTTAGAGCCAATGTTAATAAAATATATATAAGTGAGGTCTGTGTACGGTGGTTGAGTTGTCAGAACTCTCGCTTCTCCGCAAGAATGTCCTGGGTTCGAATCCCACCGGAAAGCGTGTAGGTGCGTAGGTTTTCTTCTGGTGCTCCGGTTTGCCAAAACATGTACAATAGGGCAAGGGCTCTCCACTGATTTTAAGTATTTGAGATAATAAACTATGAAGATAATCCAAACTAACGTGGGATGTAGAGCTCCATGTTAGAAGAATGAAGACAGTGGTGTGAAGCAGAGAGGACTGTTTTTCAGCTTTATCTTCATGATCTCATCATCACTGCTGTTTCCTGGTTTTTAAACTCTCTGTGCCTCTTCCTTTCTCTCTCCCACCCTTTTTCCTCTCTCCTCCCTCCCCCCTCCCTCTCTCTGCAGGAGGTGATGGTGGACTTTGAGGCCCACAGCATCACACACAGTGACTTCAGTGGGATAAAGAAGCTCCTGCAGCAGGTGAAGCATCAGAACATGAGAAACCCTCCTCCTGCTCCTCCACCTCTGCTCACTCTGCTCCCTCTGTCTCTGTTTCAGCTGTTCCTCAAAGCTCACGTCAACACAGCGGACCTCACCGACCTCGTAATCCAGCAGGCCCACATCGGCAGCGTGATCCGGGTCAGGACCAACTTCTACTGTCTCTGAGGACCTCACACTATCAGAGACCAGAGAGAGACCAGAGAGAGACCAGAGAGAGACCAGAGAGAGACCAGAGAGAGACCAGAGAGAGACCAGAGAGAGACCAGAGAGAGACCAGAGAGACCTCACAGAACCCTCACTTCTACTGTCTCTGGAGGATTTATTAGTTCATATCGCAAGTGTTTGTTCAGGATCACATTATTTTTAAACATTTGTTTTTCGTCTGCAGCAGGCAGAGGTCCCCGAGGACAGTGATGACGAAGACCCTGACCAAGTGTTCGGCTTCATCTCCATGATCAACCTCACAGAGAGAAAGGTACTCTCCCTTTCTCTATCTCTGTCTTCTTTCATGTCTGTGTCCTGCTGTGACATGCTCTGGTCTCTCTCCTCCCTCTCTCTGCTCCCTCTTTCCTTTTACTCTCTCTTGTCTCCTGTGTCCTGCAATAAGATGGTCATCTCTCTCCTCTCTCACTCCTCCTCCTCCTCCTTCTTCACCCTCCCTCTCTTCCCTCCCTCTCTCCCCTTTCTCTCACTCCTCCCCCTCACCCTCTCTTTCCTCGCTCCAGGGCGTTCAGTGTGTGGAGGAGGTGAAGGACCTCCTCCTGGACCAGTGCCAGAGGAGCAGCTCAGCAGCAGACAGTGAGGAGCTGGAGAAGCTTCTCTCAGACCAGAACAGGTCTGTGGGCCTCCTGCTGAGCGAGAGGTTCATCAACGTCCCTCCTCAGATCGCCCTCCCCCTGCACAAGCAGCTGCAGTAAGTCTCTCTTGTCGCTCTCTGGTGTCTGCTGAAATACTATTCTGGAACCTGATACAAACACAATAATATTTTTCCTGTGTGTTCAGGGAGGAGATGGCGGAGGCTCAGCGCACCAACAAACCCAGCGGTCGGTGTCACTTTTGTCTGATGATCAGTAAAACCTGCAAAGAAACCTCCAAGAACAACAGCCGCGGAGACAAGGACCAGATCCTGTTTGTGAACGCAGAGGAGGAGTTCTTCTATGAGGTCTGTACCAGGAAGTCCAGAGAGAGAGACCAGAGAGAGAGAGACCAGAGAGAGAGAGACCAGAGAGAGAGAGACCAGAGCGAGAGAGACCAGAGCGAGAGAGACCAGAGCGAGAGAGACCAGAGCGAGAGAGACCAGAGCGAGAGAGACCAGAGCGAGAGAGACCAGAGCGAGAGAGACCAGGGAGAGAGAGAGAGGCCAGAGATAGAGACCAGATCTGATTACAGACAGAAGCAAGTGATGCCATCTTTCCCCAGCTAATGTCTCTCCTACCCCTCCCTCCCCCCTCACAGGAGGCATCGTTAAAGTTCCATTACTCGGTGGAAGGGGAGACGGACTCGTGCCTCAGCGGTCGATGGTCGTTTGATGATGTTCCCATGAAACCGTTCAGAACCGTGATGGTGATTCCTAGTGAGAGGCTCCCAGTGATCATGGACAAACTCAGAGAACACCTCACCCTCTGACCAGGGACTGGAACTGGCCCCTCTCTCCTCCACCCTCTTTGGCCTCTTTCGGAAATAAAATTTCAATTAAAATCTTGTTAAAAAATGTTTTATATTTGTGTATATCATTTTCAGAGCATCATTCATAAATGGGTAATAAATATGTTGAAGTCATTTTGAGCTTTTAAGCTCAGAGAAACTGCATTTGTCCCACAGTGGAGAAATTTCAGTGTTGCAGCACACTGAAGCCCTGTTTCCACCAGCACTGCTCAGCTTTCCACCTGAGTGTGTTAGAATAGTAGTACCAACTCGGCCTCTGTCTACAACCTCGGATCTACAGCCTCAGTCCTGCTCCCTATGGACCAATGGTTCCTATGTGTTTTTTATTGTATTTCCGGTGTTAGATTTTCTGGTCTCTCTGAACTCTGATCCGTTGAAACTCATCTAAACCAGTAGAGGTCGCCACTTGACGATGGGCGTTTCATAAAAAGTGTTTTTTCTCCCGCACGCAAACAGTCACCGCGTCTGCCGCGCGAGAATACGGACTGACGTAGTGACGTGATTCTGCAGCAGCCTCACCACAACAACAACAACATCTGGACCAGGAACCAGACCAGACCAGAGACTAGACCAAGAGGGAGACCTTGGACCAGACATCAAAACGCACAGAACAGAGCGAGAAGCAGCTCAAGAGAGGGACCAGCGCATAGAAAAGAGTCCAGGATCCAGAGACCAGGACCAAGACCATGGGTTTTTCTGCTCACGTCGTGTGCGCGCTCATGCTGCTGTGGCGCGTGCAGCAGCGCGTGGAGGGGTGCAGCTGTGCCCCCGTGCACCCGCAACAGGCGTTCTGCACCGCGGACGTGGGTCAGTCCAGTGTGTGTTTGTGTGTGTCTGTGTGCGTCTCTGAGTGTGTCATGTCTGCAGTTCATTACAGCTTCTGCAGTAATGACAGTGAAGCGACAGGTTGTGTTTGTCGTAGTTTGATTCATCAACAACAGATCAGAAAATCAAACACAGGAAATGTAATAATAACAAACACATTGAGTCATTTGTCCATGTCCCGGATTATCACTGTCCTTAGACCAGGACTGAGGCTGTAGATCCTGTAGCTGCAGTTATGGTGTTGACTCTGTTCTATGGGAAGGATACATCTGTCAGATATAGGTACCACAGGACGTCAGGACACAGTCCAGGTCTAATGTGAGAGGACTTCAGGACAGAGACCTGAGACCAGGACTAATGTGAGAGGACTTCAGGACAGAGACCTGAGACCAGGACTGATGTGAGAGGACTTCAGGACAGAGACCTGAGACCAGGACTGATGTGAGAGGACTTCAGGACAGAGACCTGAGACCAGGACTGATGTGAGAGGACTTCAGGACAGAGACCTGAGACCAGGACTGATGTGAGAGGACTTCAGGACAGAGACCTGAGACCAGGACTGATGTGAGAGGACTTCAGGACAGAGACCTGAGACCAGGACTAAGCAGATGTCGTTGTGGAGATGGCGAAACCTCGACTTATGTGGAAACACACTTCTCTCTTGTGCAAAGTCTGTGGGACATTTCATTATCTGGCAACGCAACAGGAACATGTGATCACAGCTGGTCCTCATGTTAAACAGACAGTTTCTGGACAGTCATGGTCCTCTGAACAGTCATGGTCCTCTGGACAGTCATGGTCCTCTGAACAGTCATGGTCCTCTGAACAGTCATGGTCCTCTGGACAGTCATGGTCCTCTGAACAGTCATGGTCCTCTGGACAGTCATGGTCCTCTGAACAGTCATGGTCCTCTGAACAGTCATGGTCCTCTGGACAGTCATGGTCCTCTGAACAGTCATGGTCCTCTGGACAGTCATGGTCCTCTGAACAGTCATGGTCCTCTGGACAGTCATGGTCCTCTGAACAGTCATGGTCCTCTGGACAGTCATGGTCCTCTGAACAGTCATGGTCCTCTGGACAGTCATGGTCCTCTGGACAGTCATGGTCCTCTGAACCTTCAGAGTCTCTCTCACTTCTTTAGATCAGTTTTTCCAGACAGAAAAGTGAAACAGAGAGGACCAGAATCCCTCGGCCAATCAGCTCTCAGCCCAAATAGTCAAATAGTGACTCACAGGGATCTTTCTTACACTTAGATGAAAACAGAGAGGCGTGTAAATGTTTTACTTTCACGCTCTGTCGGGGCAAACACGTGTTACTTACATGAAAGCAAAAGTTGCATGTCTTAGTTTTGAGTCCTGAGTCCTGGACTGGACCAGGACCAGGACCTGGACCAAGAATGTCCTCTGTGTTTATGGTTGTTTTGTGTGACGCTCTGAACATAGCAGCAGCATGAGGTCGTCCTCAGAGACTTGGTCCTGATCCAGATTCTGCTTCTGTCAGAAGGAGAGGTTCTCAATCTATCTGACTCTGTGGCTGAGAGCTGATTGGCTGAGGGAGGGTGGTCCTCTTGGTTTCACTTTCTGTCTGAAAAAACTGATAAAGAAGTAATAGAGACCAGATATACAGAGTCTCTCTGGTCTCTCTTTCTGATAGTAGCAGTAGCAGGAGTAGCACTAGTAGTAGTAGTAGCAGTAGTAGCAGCAGTAGCAGTAGTAGTAGTAATAGTAGTAGTAGTAGTAGTAGCAGCAGTAGCAGTAGTAGTATTAGTTCCTGATTTCTTGTTGCTTCCAGTGATCCGAGCTAAAGTCGTGGGAGAGAAGGAGGTGAATTCTGGGAACGACATCTATGGAAACCCCATCAAGAGGATCCAGTATGACGTGAAGCAGGTCAAGGTGAGAGTCACTGTGGAACTACAGGTTACAGATGACAGATTATAGTTTATAGATAATAGTGATGAGAGGAATCTAACCCCAGACCTCTGCAGATGTTCAAAGGGCCGTCCCAGGACATCCACGCCGTCTTCACGGCTCCGGTCTCAGCCGTGTGCGGAGTGACTCTGGACACAAGCGGCAAGAAGGAGTACCTCATATCCGGTATTACTATCTGGTCTGCCTCTGGTCTCTCTCGGGTCTCTCTCGGGTCTCTCTCTGGTCTCTCTCTGGTCTCTCTCTGGTCTCTCTCTGGTCTCTCTCGGGTCTCTCTCTGGTCTCTCTCTGGTCTCTCTCTGGTCTCTCTCTGGTCTCTCTCTGGTCTCTCTCTGGTCTCTCTCTGGTCTCTCTATGGTCTCTCTCTGGTCTCTCTCTGGTCTCTCTCGGGTCTCTCTCGGGTCTCTCTCGGGTCTCTCTCTGGTCTCTCTCTGGTCTCTCTCTGGTCTCTCTCGGGTCTCTCTCGGGTCTCTCTCGGGTCTCTCTCGGGTCTCTCTCGGGTCTCTCTCTGGTCTCTCTCGGGTCTCTCTCGGGTCTCTCTCGGGTCTCTCTCTGGTCTCTCTCTGGTCTCTGGTGTGTGCTATATAAATAAATGTCTTCCTCTGCAGGTAAAGCAGACTCTGGGGGCAGTATGCACGTGACTCTGTGTGACTACATCCAACCCTGGGATTCTCTGAGCGCCACGCAGAAGAAGAGCCTGAGCCAGCGCTACCAGATGGGCTGCGACTGCAAGGTGAGGAGGAGGTGTGAGGAGGTGTAGACCTTGATGGTGTCTGTCTCCGCAGACCTTGATGGTGTCTCTCTCCTCAGACCTTGATGGTGTCTCAGACCTTGATGGTGTCTCTCTCCTCAGACCTTGATGGTGTCTCAGACCTTGATGGTGTCTCTCTCCTCAGATCGTGCGGTGTCAGTCTCTGCCGTGTGAGGTGTCGGCCCCAGAGGAGTGTCTGTGGACTGACCTGATGATAGAGAAGCAGGTGTACGGGCGGCAGGCGCAGCATTACGCCTGCGTGAGGCGCTCTGACGGATCCTGCTCCTGGTACCGAGGCGTGGCTCCGCCCAAGAAGGACTTCCTGGAGGCTGAGGACCCCTAGTGGCCGGCTGCAGAACTGTAGCTCCCAGAAGGACTATTATGGTCTTTAGTCTGTTCAAACACACCTGGAGCTGTGGGACACGCACACACACACGCACACACACATGAACACACACAGAAAAGGATGAAGGCTCTCATGCAGGGCATCTTGGGTAATTCCAGACACCCTCTGCATGACACTATGGCCGCTCAGAGGAGTAACCGTAGCAACAGGCTTGTATCACTGCGCTGCCGAACGGAACATTTTAAGAGATCCTTTGTTCCTTCGGCTGTTAGACTGTACAGAAACCTGGATGGGTTTTCTGCTGCTGGACACCTGAATTTCTCCTACGGGGGATCAAGAAAGTATCTATCTATCTATACACACATACACACAAACACAAACACAGCGCCAGGTCTGTTTATGATAGGAACAGTCAGTGACATAGACAGAAAAGAGTGACATCATCACTGGTGACATCATCACTGAGGCTGGCGTCAGGCGGAAAACTATTTTTGTTTTAAACTTCTGGGAGGATTTAGTTTTTTCTTTTATTCCTTAGCTCTTGATTTAAAGCACTTTTTACGTTGTGTCTTCATCCTTTTGAACAGCAAATAGAGTTAAAGAAACCATGAAATATGTGGAGGACTTGGAACCAGAGCAACGAGAGGCTTAAGCCCCATTTCCCTCTACTCTACTCTAGAGCAGAGTATTCTTCTCTGCTCTACCCTACTCTTCCCTACTCTACTAAGTTTCATAGAAAATGCCACTCTCGCCTCTTTGGTTCCAAGCCTGGTTTACCAGTGGTCCCTTACTGGCCACTCTAATGCTACAGCTAACAGCGAAGCTAACCCAATTTGAAAACACGTGAAAACAATCATTATTTCTTTGTATCATGTTCATGTTTTTTCGTAGCTGTACAGAAATCTGCAACTATTCTGTTGTTTTCAATGATCCTCTGCTTTCAAATAGATTTGCACTTTTTGGGAAAACTTTTGGGTGAAGAACCTGCTTTTTGTGTCCATATGTTTGTAAGTGATATATTCAGACCTAAATCAAGAGAAGGCGATTCAATCTTATCGTAATTTTTAAGTTTTAGTTTACTCCTAGCTTTAGCAACATATGTGCTGTTTTATGCGCTGCCATGACGACAGCACGAGCAGAGCCTGTGTTATTTAAAGGAATAATTTCAGTTTTGTTACAGAAAAAAAAACTGGGAAAGATTGTGCATGAAAAAGACTGTCAAGAGTTAAAATGTCAATTAATCAGTATTATCAATAAAACCCAACGTTTCAAAAAAGAAAAGAGCATTTAATGTTTTGTTTTTTAAAAAGATTTTTATTTTTGGCCTTTTTTTTAAGCTACACCCTAGCCTGGTCGTATCACACCATTGTACAAATTACATTTCGTACTAAGGTCTGGAGGCGCTCCATTGAGCTCCGTTTACAGGTGGGAGGGGTTAACTCCTTTTGCAGATTGAAACGATTGGATCTGAGTTTACCGTGACGTATGTAGTGCGCCCGAGTCTGTCGTTTACATTTAGCCTAGCCATCTCCTTTGCCGCTAACGGAACCCGTGGGGAGTAGCGCCACGAATTTTGCCCGCGATTATATTTGCTAAATTTCGGGTGTTGCCTCCCGCGTTCGTTGATTGGTCGGATGGAATTCAACCGATTGTAATCGCAAACACAGGGACCAGACCCGGCTAGTTACACCCATAAAATCAATCTTTAATTTACTCATACATGTATCCTTTGGGGAGCTGAAGAGGGTGTGAGCTACAGGTTGGAGACCTCTGCTGTCCGCCCCTGGTGGACACTATAAAAAGTACAGCTTTTAGGTACTTCTCAGTCTTGAGTTGATTCCTGGTTCAGCTTTTGCCGTTTCTGTACAACTTTATAACATTTAAACCAAAATGATTCCAAAACAAAGTTATTTTAATCACGTTTTTTATTTTTCTTAATTCATTCTTGTTCATTTCACCCCATGTGCTTCGGTCTGCAGCTCCACAGCGCCCCCTATGGCTCCCCATATCTAAAAGGTAAATCTCACATGGATCAGTGGATTTTTCTCTTTTAGATTCAGAAACGTGTATTGATGACTTGGGGACTAATGTAACAGACCTGTGTGAGCAGAGTTTTCTTTTACATGGTCAAACTTCACCATGAGCACTTCGCTGTTGGGCTTCATTAAGCTAGCAATAGCATTGTCCATCTGTGTACAGTCAGTTTATAACTTAACCCTCCGAGTCCAGCCTCATGTCACAGTGAGCAGTTTCAAGGCACAGGAGAAAGTGTCAAAGTAAAGAGATATTTGTCTTAACGTTTTTTTTTTTTAAGTAAAATGTTAGGAACAAATCAGACACAGTGATAAAAAGACTGAGTCACTATTTGTCTCTTTGGGCTGAGAGCCAAGTGACGAGACAAAGGCAAAAAATACATGATGTGAAAACTAGTGATGAATCCATCAACAAGTTCCAAGTGTTTCAAAGTCAGGTACCGCAGCTTTAAGCAGAAAAACAAAGGTTTAAGGTGGAGCTGGTGGCGCCACCCGGTGGCAGAACAGGGTTTAACAGGGAGAAGTTTATACCGACGTGTGTTTGGTCCGTTTCTTCAACTTCGATTCACTGCCGTTTGTTCATTGATCAAAACTGAGACATAATCGTGTTAGCACCAACAGCAAGAACCCTGAAGGTCCAGGTCAAGTCCAGGTCTACTCCAGGTCCAGAGTCCAGGGTCTAGAGTCCTTTGTTGAAATAAACATATTTGATTTTGTCTCCGTGTTGCGACACGATGGAATCTCTGAGCTCTGGCTCCAGTTTGGAGACAGCCATAGAACTGAAAGAGACAAGAACAAGTTTAGAGACCTGACAGAGACCAGAGAGCCAGACCAGAGAGCCAGACCAGAGAGCCAGACCAGAGAGCCAGACCAGAGAGCCAGACCAGAGAGCCAGACCAGAGGGGGAGACCAGAGGGGGAGACCAGAGGGGGAGACCAGAGGGGGAGACCAGAGGGGGAGACCAGAGGGGGAGACCAGAGGGGGAGACATTATAACTACACATTCGTACCATTGTTGAGGGAAGAGGGAGCAGGCAGCAGGAACCATGAAGACCAAACTGAAGAGATAAACAACTATAAATGTAACAAGTTTATTATTATCTGTAATAAACCAGAAAAGTCACTCACAACACGCCGACCATCAAGACCTGGATCGGACCATGAAGGAACGTGATCCTCTGAAACAAAAGCAGTTTCAGCTTATTGTTTTTATGGAAGTGAAGGAGACCAGAGAGAGACCAGAGAGAAACACCAGAGAGAGAGAGACCAGAGAGACACCAGAGAAAGAGACCAGAGAGAAACACCAGAGAGAGAGAGAGACCAGAGTGTGTTTTAGAGTCTGACCTGCATGAACCGGAACCTCTCCATCCTCTGCATGATGATGGGCATGATGACTGCAAACACAGGAAGTGTGCAATAACGGGCTGTGTGCAATAACGGGCTGTGTGCAATGGTGCGGACTCTTAACACTGGATTATTTATGTGGACTGTACAGCTGTTTAAGTTGTTGTATTTAATGTTGTGACCCTGACCATGTGACCCTGAAACTATGGGACCCAGATGCAAATGTGCCTCTGGCTATAATCTGACATGTTTACATTCATGTTTCTAATGTGTCTGTTCATTGACCTGTTCCATTCAAAAAAAAAAAAAACAATTACAGTCTTCATTTAAACTGTGAGAAATGTTCAAAGTGCTTCATACTCATCCCAGGAGCCGCCATCGTGATCCGAGACACCACCACCTGCGTGATGCCTTTAGCTGCAGCTTTCTGCAGAAACACAAAGATTTTTAAAGCTGGGGGACGCAACTTTCAGACCACAACAAGAGTGAGAAGTAATAACATTCAAGGAGAATCCAGAGAGAGAGAGAGACCAGAGAGAGAGACCAGAGAGAGAGACCAGAAAGAGAGACCAGAAAGAGAGACCAGAGAGAGAGACCAGAGAGAGAGACCAGAGAGAGAGAGACCAGAGAGAGAGACCAGAGAGAGAGACCAGAGAGAGAGACCAGAGAGAGAGAGAGACCAGAGAAAAAGGAATGTTGCTCTCTCCTTGTTCACATTTTAAAGTAAGGAGGAACACCAGCTTTAACTGTTACAGAAAAGTGAAATAGTGTCGTCTCTTAAACCCTAAAGTCTTCATCACCTTCGACGCTCCCAGTTTGTTCCCGTTCTCGTCTGTGACCGTGATACCGTTCAGGATCTCTCTGTGGAACACAGACACAGCCTCAGTCCTGGGTCTACAGCCTCAGTCCTGGGTCTACAGCCTCGGTCCTGGGTCTACAGCCTCGGTCCTGGGTCTACAGCCTCAGTCCTGGGTCTACAGCCTCAGTCCTGGGTCTACAGCCTCAGTCCTGGGTCTACAGCCTCAGTCCTGGGTCTACAGCCTCAGTCCTGGGTCTACAGCCTCAGTCCTGGGTCTACAGCCTCAGTTCTTACTGCTGCCTCATCATGGGGATGTTGACACAGTTGGCTGAGGCGACGGCAGCGAAAGGAACCCAGCGGGCAACGAGGGGCGGGGCTTTCTGAGAGAAGGAAAGAGACCAAAGAATGATACAGACAGAGAAAGACCAGAGAGAACCAGAGAGAGAGACCACAGGTTGCTGGTACCTTAGTGTAGAGGTTGAGTCCCACAGCGGTGGCCAGAGCTGTGCTGGTGGCAGTGACATAGGCCACTCCAATCTGTCTGCAACACAACATCAATGAGACACACACACAGACAGACACACACAGACACACACTTACTTGGGAGTGATGGGAGAGGCTGCGTTCCTGTTGGTGTAGTTGACCAGAGCATTAAACGACTGGTTCACCCACTGCCAGAACACGACCGCAGGAACAGTCCTGAGACACGGACCATCAAGGGACAATCAGATAACCATGGAAACAATTATTGTCCCTCCCTCTCTGGTCCCTCTCTCTCTCTGGTCTCTCTCTCTCTGGTCTCTCTCTCTCTGGTCTCTCTCTCTCTGGTCTCTCTCTCTCTCTCTGGTCTCTCTCTCTCTGGTCTCTCTCTCTCTGGTCTCTCTCTCTCTGGTCTCTCTCTCTCTGGTCTCTCTCTCTCTGGTCTCTCTCTCTCTGGTCTCTCTCTCTCTGGTCTCTCTCTCTCTGGTCTCTCTCTCTCTGGTCTCTCTCTCTCTGGTCTCTCTCTCTCTGGTCTCTCTCTCTCTGGTCTCTCTCTCTCTGGTCTCTCTCTCTCTGGTCTCTCTCTCTGGTCTCTCTCTCTGGTCTCTCTCTCTGGTCTCTCTCTCTGGTCTCTCACCTGTAGAACTGGAGCATGAAGCCGGTGATGGCCATTCCTCCTGGGACCTGGAAGGACATGCGGCCGATCAGGTTCATCCTGTCGCCGGTGTCTGGGTGGAACGCAGAGTCATACAGCTTCTTGGCGTAGTGCAGCTGGTCCTCTGTGGTACCAGGTGGGACCGAACCAGCTCTGAGAGAAAGAGAGGAAGACATTTAATTATATAGCACGTTTCATACAAGTCATCTGATTCAAGTCCAAAAACCACAATATTACAACAATTATTTGTCAATTACAGTCGGAGAGCAAAACTTTATCTCTCTCTGGTCGGTCTCTCTGGTCTCTCTCTCTGGTCTCTCTGGTCTCTCTGGTCTCTCTGGTCTCTCTGGTCTCTCTGGTCTCTCTGGTCTCTCTGGTCTCTCTGGTCTCTCTGGTCTCTCTGGTCTCTCTCTCCCTGCCTATCCCCACTCTCTCCTGGTCTCTCCTGGTACCTGCAGCTGAGCACCAGTGCCTTGGCCTGGTCGAGCTCAGCGTCTGGCAGGAGGGCGGTGCGACAGTCTGTGATGTTGAAGAAGTGTCGGAGGCGTCCCATAAACGTGGACTGGTCCCAGCGCGGCGCGTCGATGTCCAAGGATTGCGCCATCTTGGATCTGCTGCAGTGAGACGAGAGAAACCTGCACAGACGAGAACACTATCGTTTAAAATCATGACAAGAAGAGAAAGACCAGAGAGAGACAAGAGGGAGACCAGAGAGGGAGACCAGAGAGGGAGACCAGAGAGGGAGACCAGAGAGGGAGACCAGAGAGGGAGACCAGAGAGGGAGACCAGAGAGGGAGACCAGAGAGGGAGACCAGAGAGGGAGACCAGAGAGAGAGACCAGAGAGAGAGACCAGAGAGAGAGAGAGACCAGAGAGAGAGAGATCAGAGAGAGAGAGATCAGAGAGAGAGAGATCAGAGAGAGAGAGAGACCAGAGAGAGAGAGAGACCAGAGAGAGACCAGAGAGAGAGAGAGACCAGAGAGGGAGAGACCAGAGAGAGACCAGAAAGAGACCACAGAAAAACCAGAGAGAATGACCAGAGAGAGACCAGACAGAAAGAGAGAGACCAGACAGAGAAAGAGCACAGAGACCAGAGAGGGACCAGAGAGGGACCAGAGAGGGACCAGGTCACTAGTTCCTGGCTCTAAAACAGGTTGATCTATCAATAGCAGGTCCAATTTGACCTTGGTCCTGGTTCATGTATTTTCGGCCTTTGTCACATCTTTAGATCCGTTTTTTCAGACAGAAAAGTGACCACCCTCCCTCAGCCAATCAGCTCTCAGCCCAAAGAGTCAAACAAACGTGTAATAACATCAAAAATCAGGTGCCCCAGATTTAATAAGAACTGAGCGTGTCCCAAAAACAGGTGCAGCTGAAGTTTGGAGCAGACTGGATCCAGCTGGAGATGTTTGTTTTGAAAGTAGGTCATAGATACAAGAGACACGTGGGAGAGGACCAGGGCGAGACCAGAGAGAGACCAGAAAGAGAACAGAGTGAGAGCAGAGAGGGACCAGAGAGAATTTTCTGACAGCTTCCATGACTCATTCACTATCATCTATTTTGACACTAAACCAGGGTCCTGCAGTTACTAAAACTTAATGGAGTCAAAACAATATGTCTGTGCTCTGACTCCATCACAATAAAAACACACATTAGTCGCATCGCTAAATAAACTGCAGGGATCAAGGAACTAGCAGAAAGTAGCAGCTTATAGTCTGGAACTGTCATAAAATGGGTCCATAAAGCAGCATTCAATATTTTACAGCCTATGGCCACCACACCTGGTTACACTGTGATGTTATGGAACGGGCGTGTTCACAGTAAAGTGTTAATTATAGTATTTGGACTTTAAGAGATTATAACTCAAAAACTAAAATTACTATCATAGGTTACAAAAACAAATTTCAAAACATATCAAAAAGATAGTGTGGATAAAATCAAAAGAAAACGTTTGGAGACATTTTAAACAACCCGATCAGCCTCGGATTTGATAATTCTATTGTGACGCTAGTTACATAAAAAAATCAAAGGTCATCAGTGACAAAGCGGCAGATGAACTCCCACAAGATCAACACTAACACAACAAAAGTTTACATCTAATTGGTTTATTATATGAAAGTAATCACTTTGTTTCGACTCTGTAAAAAAAGAAAAGAATCTCTATCAAATGTGGACATCTGAAAATATAAAGTGTATCTTATCTTATCAAACTTCTGCAGCTCATTCTGTCAAAGGATCATGTCTGTTACACAAATAAACAGAGCCATAGGAAACGTGACTAAAAACAGTTATGTTCTAGCAACCTCTGCACCTTCTCCACAGACTCCCACTGATGACTGCTGTCGTTGTGTCCTTGGGCAAGACACTTAACCCCACTTTGCCCAAAAGCCCCCACTGAAAGATCAAGGCTATGCTCACACTCAGAGAGCAGCCGTCCTCCTGTGGACTCACCACCTGCAGAGGGTCAGTGAGGGGCTGGTGCTATGAGACTTGGGTGGCATCTCTGACTGCCACCCCCTGACCCAGAAATGGATTAAAGGGTAGAAAATGGATGGATGGATGGATAGATATCAAAATCTAATGTTTGGCCTTTTGTCACTTTTCTACCCTTTAGTGAGAACAAGCCCATATACAAGTGCCAGAGCGTTCAACACTTCAATTATTAACAATTAATCTCAAAATACACTTTAATGCATCTGTCTGCGTTGTCACCCTCAGCTCCTGTAAACATTCGTTCAGACCCGGAATAAGCTCAAAAACTGATTTCTTAAAAACAACAATTGCAAATGTCATTTAAGTACGTGTCATTTCTCCTGTTTACAACCAGTGCATGTGCATCTGAACAGGAACATACTGGTCCATGGGAGCTCCCCATTCATGAGAGAGTCGTCTGTTCAGAGAATAGTGATGTCTGTAAGTCCTGTGTCCTGAATGTTCAAGGACAATGTTTTTGCACTTCCCTCCTCAGTGTTGGCTTCAGTTCATGTACAGAGTAGATCATAATAAATGTCACAGAGACAAGAGTCTTATTTTCCTCCATACTTCTAATGTCTTTGAATAATTTGAGGGACATCAATTGCAATATATTGTAGACTCGCATCACAATCACAATATGTTAAGAATCGCTATAATATTGAATTGTGGCCCAATCCTCACATTTTGCCCATCCTCACCTCCATCGCACCTGTCCATTTAATGCCATTTATAATTATTTTTTTATTTGAACTTCATGCAATGATTTCTAACAGAAAACACCCATTATAGTCTTGTATCTTGCCATATGTTTGCAATGTTACCAAGACAAAACTGCAAAACATGCAATTCCCACACATTCTGCTCCCAATGCCCACAATGACACATGCATTTGCACTGTGTGGATATAATGTTAGTTTAGAGATATTTAAAAGTTGATTATTTGTTGAGAATGCGGAAAGATGAGCTGTGTTTTCTTCTAAAAGAGCTGGATAACATCTTAGCGAGTGATGCAACTTACCGCTCGAGTTACTTTGAGGGAGATTCGGGTTTTAATTGGACAAATGTCGGAGCAAAATCTGGTTCAAACCACGAACCGAGTTGTTTTCAAACCGCAGAGACCAAACATGAGAAATGTAGGACTTGCCTTTTGCAGATTTCCAGCAGAGAAAGCAAGAAACGTGTTGGTTTGTGCAGTGTGGAGAAGTCCGATTTATTTTCCCCAACACAATCTTGGCCTCTATGCTATCAAAGGGCTACACAAAACGACATGTTTCACAAAAGTAGCTTAAAGATCAAATCTAAGTTTCTGTTAGCGCTACAAGCAATTCGATTTGTTAAAGTAAGAGATTTGGGCAAGTTATTCTAAAAGGAATAAGCCGGACTACGTGGGAGAAAAAAGATCAAAAGTTTGACATGTGGCAAAACGAGGGCCAATCACAGCGCGGGGTAGTGGCTTGCCCGGAAGACATTTAAGTGTAGTTCATGGGTGCAGTTATAATAATTTCTTCAGGTGTGTATTTTTCAGTTTCTATTTTGTACATTTCCATATCTATTTAAAAACCATACTTTTAAATATCAGTTATATTATTCAATAATTAAATGTGATTAATTGGAGTTAATTTTAGTGATTCAATGCTAACTTGCTAATATAGCCCATGGCTCTATTATAATAAGATATAGCCCATAGACATTTATATGTCTATGATATAGCCACACATCCATTTTCTTCCGCAGCTGCCTGGATCTATAATAATAACTGGATAGGGTATTACTAGCTTAAAGCTGTCCCACCCATGGGCACAGGGGGCGCCCGTGGTACTGCAGACTAAATTCACGAGAGCTAAACAGAAAAAAAGTCCCATAGAACTTACAGCTTTCATAGAGATCGGATTTTGTGGGTGTGACGGGGCCACACAGCTTGCTCTAGTATTGAGAGCACCACACTGCGATGCGAGCTCTTTTTTTCTGGAGCGTCCGTGTTACACGCGCACTTAATACAGCACCCTTTACGTATTACCCACGGCTAGTTCTCCGTCTGTGGGGAGTTTGAGTGAGTTTGGTGAGACTCCGGTGCTCACTGGGTCTCACCGTCGTGCTACTCACCGTTTGCGTGTGCGCGAACGTGCGTGCGCTCCTTGGAACTGCATGCGTGTCTCCCGTGGGTTGGCCAAACAGAGGCAGAGACGCACACACACATTATAATGGTGCATTCAGACCGACAACCATGAAACGCTGAAGCCCCGCTCACCAGACGCGCATTCTCTAGTTTTCAGACGCAGGGGTCTTCACACCAGAACGTCCTGGCCAGCGCCAGAAGCAGCCGGCAGGCTATGATGCTAACAGAGTTTAGCTAGCGGCTTCTCTTGTACAGATGTACTTTGTTCAGAGACCTTCCACAGACGTCATATAACAGTAGTATGTGTTCACGGAGGTGCGGCATAGGTTTTTTGTATTGTTAAATGGTATTTCCACATCGAAGAACACACTCGAAGCAGTTGCATAAGGTCACCGGAGCATGACAACGCATATTTTCACAAGCACAGAGTCCCCCATTGTCAACCCTGGTTTGAGTTCTGGTGAAGCCTGGTGTGAGTCCTGTTTTGGCTGTTTATGTGTATTTTCAGTCTGCTCGCTCAATCCACTAATGTCCCTGTGACCACTTTGCTCCTCTCTGATTGGTCGCCGCACGAAAAGCAAGAGCAGAATCCATCTCCTGTGGGCGTCCATTTTCCGCTCCTGCTCCTCCCTTTTGACTTTCCCGCCAAGTCCGTGCGTCTCTACTGAGCGGTTCGTGCGTGTGTGCCGAGAGCTCCGTGCGTTTTGACGCTCGAACGCGCGTCACCATTGACTTTGCATTGAAAGCAGACGCAACGCATGATCCGGTCTGAACGCGGCATACGTGTTATGGAGCATCATGTGATCCTTTATCCTTATTTTGTGTTTTTGTTTCTTGTGACTGTAAAGGGGGATTATGCAGTGTGGGAATGATTCTATGCTTTACTGTTTAGTGGGGGACTATTTCAGTAGTATTGTTTTGGGGGTAAATGGACTTTAAACTCAGTGAATGTATTTTGTGTTTGTAAAACGCCCGGGGCAGGGGCTTGGGCTTTAATGGTGCTTTCAGACCGGA